TCTTTTCCATTAACTCACAATCACGACATGCTTTCCTTTGGGGCTGGACTGAAATGTTTGCAGTCCTCACTAATTGACAAATTCACACTCAAACTGAATAGTGCAGCTGGCATAGGCAGCTTCTGGAGAACAACTAGAAATTAAAGAGGATGAAGCTGGCAGTTGGATCAGTTAGGGAGAAGGTGCACTGGGGTCATTGGACCATATTCTCACCCACAGTTTTTCAGCCCTGGGTTCTACTCAGTTAACGATAAAGGCCATCCTATATGACACAGGGTTTACCAAGACACTTAGTATCTTTCCTCTTTTGAATTTTTTTTTTAATTTATTTACAATAGTCATACAGAGAGAGAGAGAGGCAGAGACACAGGCAGAGGGAGAAGCAGGCTCCATGCACCGGGAGCCTGACGTGGGATTCGATCCCGGGTCTCCAGGATCGCGCCCTGGGCCAAAGGTAGGCGCCAAACCGCTGCGCCACCCAGGGATCCCTCTTTCCTCTTTTGATACAAATCCTTATTCTCTCTGATTCAGAATCATAATTTCCTAAGTAAATAACCTAACTCTAAAAACTGCTTCAGTTGTCATCCTTGATGATGTCCCTTTATTTCCTGTCTCCATCCACTGTACCAGCAAGTCTTGTCAGCTCCACCCTCCTTCTCCATCTTCACAGACACCTTCTTGGTCCAGGCCACATTTTGTCTCCTGGATTCCTGCAACACTCCACCTCCACTGGCTTCTTCCAATCCATCTTCCATCCAGCGGCAACACTGACATTTTAAAACTACAATCAGCTCACATCACTGTGTTTCCTTAAACACTCTCATTGCTTTCCATGGCCAGAGTAGAACCCAGCATCCTTAGGGTGGCCAACATAGCTCTGTCCTATCCCTACGATCTCATCGGCTCTACTACCCCCTTGTTCTCGCCTTTCCAGCCTCGTGGTCTTCTCTCACTTTCTGTCTGCAGAGAGGCCCAAGCACAGCCCGAGAAAGCAGAGAGCCGGCAGTATTTTACAGTACATGCTGATGAGAAGAAAAAAATAGAAAATAAGAACAGAAAAGTAGCTTATAGCCAACCAATTTCTTTTCCTTTTATGGAAGCTACAAGAAGACATATGCTAATAGGTTTTAGAATAAGTAGAAATCTTGCTTTGAAGGCTGGCAAAATATAGGTTGTATATGGGAAAGGGGGGATATTGATAGCTACGTTCCCAGTATGCAATGAATGGGGTGCCCTGAGCATCCTCAAGCATTTGTGTTTGTCCTGAAGCAAAGAGAACTTCCTCTCCTTCCAATCTAAGGACAAGGTCCTGGAGAAACTCAAATTATACAATTTAAAAAGGGCTCTCGGTCAGTATAGCTATTTGCATTCAAACGAAGTCATTTCTGAAGCATTCCTTTCAGAATTCCAATTAGAGATTTAAAACATACCCGCATATAAATGGGAAAGATTTAAATTGAGGTGTAGAACCATATTGAGGTTACTAACTTAATATTGTTTCAGCCATCAAATAAATGTTCCATAGTACTTAGTTCATAACACATTTCAAGTTATGTCTGGGCTGGCTTGGGTTAATAGTCCCTTTAATTATTCTAATGAGGCTTACTTGCTTGCCAAGCTATATTCTCATTCCATTTAGCCTATTATACTACCGTATATTTTTTGATGGGCTCCCTTACAATTGGTGCTAAGGGAGCCACTTCTGTCCAGGGAAGATGAAAGTTTATCTTTGTGAATTCTCATGCATTTATTCCGCAAAGATTTATGAGCACCTACTGTGTTCCTAGGCTGAGCACTGGAGACCAAACAAGACACAGGTTTGTACCCAGTTAAGGGGTGAACAAGTGATTAGCACGCGGAGTATAACTGGCAACAGGCAGGCTTCAGGAGCATTGTAATGAAGCCGAGGCACAAAGAAAAGTCAGCTTGCACCAGGCAGAGTGGGAGTGGGAGTCCCAGCAGGGAAAACAGCCTGAGCAAAGACTATTGGCCAGGTGGCATTAGCATCCCAGGTGCACGGGCCTTCATGGTGTAGTTCATTTTGACCTTGTGGCCTTCTGAGTCTTTAGGAGCCTAGATTCCTCTTCATCTTTAGCTCAGGTAACCTTAAAGGCCCTAGAACGTGGGTTCCTTAGCTCAGGTAATTGAGGTCTACCGGTGCAGTACACCCTCCTTGTTCTCAGGTTTCAATTTCAAATGGGAAATCTTTGAGAGGCCACAACACACCCCCCAAAGTTAATGGTGTACTTTTTATGTAACTGAAGATAGATTCAAATAAGAATGATATGAAGTGAAATGCACAGCCATTGAAAGTATAGTTTAAAAGAAACTTATTTTAGTAACTGTATTGAATTACATAACCCTGGATCTATGAAATCATTTGGGGTTCGAAAGGGTGACTTTAATTTTTGCTTGTATTTTACTGCATTTTCCTTGAGTAAGGTTCACAAAGGCAAGAACCTTTGCTCTCCTTCATTGATGTTTCCTAAGAGTCTAAAATAGTGCTTGGCACCTAGTAGGCACTCAATAAATATTTGTTGAAAGATATAGTGGCTTTTGGTGGAGAAATTACATTCTGTGTAAGTTTCCTACATCTTGGAGTCTTGATTATCAAAAGTCTATAGTACTCTAATGATAGAGGATTTAGGGTTCCCTCAGAATGGGCTGCAATAGTTCTAATGTTGCAAATAAACTAAGGATGACACTGTTAAAAGGAAGGGCTTGAGGGACTTATAATCGTCTCCACAAGGTTTTGGATAAAGCTCGCTTTTTTAGTAGTTATATATATGTATATATATAACATATATATGTGGTAAATAGACATGACGCAGTCTACAATCCCAAATTTTCTGTAAATCCACTTACTTCCTATTCAAAGCCCTATCTTGCAGGAGTGGGTGGAAATTAGCCATCATTCATTATTGGGGACACTCACACCCAGTTGTGCCAATATCCTTGGGGCTTCCCAGGGTCAGACTAGCTGCCAGTGAGAAGCCCATGGTTCCAAGGGCCTCAGTTTCCCAGGATGCCGCACACAGCTGTCCTCTCTGGGGTCCTGATACCTGTAGGGAGTGTATGGCCCAGGTGATTGCCATCATTTTCTCTTTCAGTTTCTGGGATGCCCTGGAGCACTTTGAGCCCACAAAGTCAGTCCTCTAGCCTATCCTTCCTTCTGGATCCACTGCATTCCTCACTTCAATGAGCTCAAACACCTCTGCTTTCTGCCCTGAAGAAAAATCCCTGAGGCAAGGAAATAGAGTCTGGGTATGGCATGCAGGTACAAGGTGGACAGAGAGAACATAGGAACAAACAGATTGTCTCAATAAGTTATTCTGTTCCAGGCAGTATTGAATGGCCATTTCAATCATCCTTCATTTATAAGCCAATTAAGAAAACAGCCCTCACAGAAGCCCAAGGACTACGGACCCGAAACTGGACTATGGCTACATTTGCTCACACTTCCATAGCAGTAAATAAAAAGCAAGGAACGTTGGGCACATTGCTCCTTGCTCTGAGCTCGCTTTGGCTGGAAGGCAAGAAGGCTCTGTTTTTGCCAGCAAGTGTTTGAATGTAACTGAACTCCCCTGGCTTCCGGGCATCTTTCTGGTGTGTGAACTCTTCAACCTCTGTCACTCCAACGCTTTCTTCCATTCTCACCTCAAATCCCTGGGAAGCTTCTCAGAAACTTCAAAAGTCACTCACTCAGACACTGCTTTGGTGGTTGGAATATAAATGTTGAAGAGTCTTGACATCTTCTATGGGGATCTTTAAAGAAGACTTCAAAGAAACAGCTCTCCTGCTTTGAGAATTTCCCACATAAGTAATAAATGAAAATAATTCCCCTTTCTGTATGTCTCTGATCTCACCCCGAGGAATGGGTTTATTAAACAGGCCTGAGAGATTGCTGGGGAATCTCTCCAGGGCTCTTAGGAGCTCATGTGGTCACCGGAGTCATTTAACCTCTTCCAAAAGCCTCATGTGATAATATGTGGACACTGTCGTTTGGAAGTCAGGCTTTATTTGTGTGTGGGGGGGGTAGATTATCATTATCATTATTATCATTATCCTTCACAAGTACTAAATCACTTTTTATAATAAAGAAAAAGTCTATTTTTCATGAGATTAAAATCTGAACCAATGTCTTGCTTCTGAATGTGGCATCTCCCCTTATTTAACAGAGCATCTTTATCATACCGTGTGTGTAGGGAACAGGATAGTGTTGGAGTTAAAAGGAAAAGCTTCGAAGTTAGCTAGTGCCAACCCTTCTATTTAAAGATAAGGAAACACAATGGAAGGATTTTAACTTTTGTCCTATACCCTGAAATAGAAAAGGATTGAGAAAAAATGAAGGAAACATTCTGTAACTGATCCTTGGCTTCCGTATAAAAATGGAATCATTGTACCTGTCTCATAGAGCTTTTGAGAAGGTTAAATGAAATCATACCTGGAAAAAACATAGCCCAGTTACTGGCACACATTAAGTGCTAAGTAAATGTTAACTGCTAAGGAGATTACTGCAGCTCTGGCCCAGAACAGGGCTCTCAATCCGGCTGCACATCAGAACTTTCTGAGATGTTGTCTCAAAAATGCTCAGGCCTGTGCCCAGCTGCAGATACTCTGATTCAGTTGGTCTCAGGAGGGGCCCTGTTTCGGTGTGGTTGAGGAATTCACTGGGTGATTCTCAATGTGCAGCCAAGGTTGAAACCCATTGGCCCAGGAGATCCAGGAACAAAAGACAGAACGTGTAGCCTTAGCACCAGGTAACTATACCAAGCAGATGGTAAAGGAAGAGAGAGAAGGAAAATTAAAATACTCTGGTAAGGTTTTCAAAGGCGTTTGAAAATGACATCTTTTGTCAACAGCAAGTTGATAACCAACCTAATTGAAATGAAACCATTAGTAAGGCTCAGTAAGAGTCTTACTAAAAAAAACAATAGTTTTCCTCTGTCCATATGGCTAAGGAGACCCATTGCCACCACTGAAAAAAAACCACAGCCAAATTAACAAGAGGGCAGTCATTTAATGCAGAAATCCAGTTAACATAAAGAGACAGAGGTTAAACAACAAGTAAGACATCAAACAATGCTGCATAGTGTCACTGATTAGCTCTTACACAGTTGGTCTTTTCTCCTTGGGATTTGGATTCCAGTACGAAGACAGAGAAGAGACGTCAATTAAAAATAAATAAATAAAATAAATAAATAAGGCAACAGAAGAGGAATCTTCCTGTGACAAGGAACATCCACAAAAAAATGCACAAATATTTGGTGCCGACAACAACAAGACACCATTAGGACAAGTTCCGAAGATACTGCATTAAAATTTAACAAGCATGGTACAATGACAAGAAAATTATACTCGCTTTGTTATGAATCCTTTTGCAAATAGAAATGATTCTCAGGTAATTGTTATATACAAACTTTCTGAAATAAATGGCAATCATACAAATTTTCCCATTGCAATTTCCTCTTTTTCTAAACCTAGAAATGTCCCATGGCACTGCTCCCTATTTCTCACAGTCAAAGCATAAGTAGTCATTAAAGCACTTGAATCCACAGTAGTCTTGTCCGTAGAAAGGTATGGAGGTTTTGCATGATTTTCTATCAGTCATCCAGAAAGGGCTGGCAGGAAACAGGTTGGAATGTAAAAGACCGTTTTGTGCTTGGGATCTCAACTCGAATTCCACTACGTTCCTCTCAGGAGCTGTCCACACTGTGGATGGGCCACCGAGTAGTGAACTTGAGCGTGGACAGTCATACCGTGGAGTCCCTGCCAGACTTTAGATGTGCAATCTTGGTCCGGCTAATAAACGGATAAGCGATGCAGAGACCTCCAGCTGCCACAATAAAGCCTAAACTGCACCAGGCGCAAAAGATAGACCAGCTGTAGCCGTGTTCCACATCATCAGGCAGGCTATAAATTAGCTTCGGGAGCCGGTTCAAATCATAGGAGATGCTGGCAGCATACGTGCAGAGGGAAATGGTGCAAAATATCCCTAAAAATAATGCAAAGAGAAGAGAATGGCTGGTTACAGTGTTGCCTGCTACAAGGCAAATGCTGGACAGGCCTTTGTGAAAATCAGGTCACCTGATGAGGCGGTCACTCCCAAGTTAGTAAAGGATCTCTAATTCTTGCACTTTAACTTGAATGCATTCAACAAACATTGGCAAAATCCTTATGTGCCAGACTGTACACTACGTATTGAAGGTATAAGAATAAAGAACACAGGAGAAAATTCTGATAACTTGAATTATTTAGGATTATCCTGCTGGAATGGTATGCATATTTGAATTTATTTTTGGTTTTTGTTCTTAAAACAATGAAATAAAAATTCTAACTATTTTTAAGGAAAAGATCTTCTATAATCACTCAAACCTAATATAAAACAGTCTTCGTGTCCCCTTATTCTATACCTGATTTGACACATTTTTATGTAGTTCCACATCATACAGAGCCCATTGTCCTTTTCAATCGCCGTCATCATTAGTATTTATCATGTTCCCTGTAAATACTTTAAATGAATTTTTCATGTGCTAAATTATGTTTTAAGGTACAAAGTGTGGCACATACTAGGGCTTCAACAAATCATTGTGGGTTTTTTCAATGAATGAAAAAAAGCTTTTATTTTTTTAAAAAAGATTTATTTATTTATTTGAGAGAGAGGAGGGGGAGGAGCAAAAGGAGAGAGAGAATCTCAAGCAGACTCCACGCTGAGCACACACCCCGATGCAGGGCTTGAAGCAGGGCTGGATCTCATGACCCTGAGATCATGACCTGAGCTGAAACTAAGAGTCAGTCAATTAACCAACTGAACCACCTAGGTGCCCCTGAATAAAAGCTTTTAAATGATACAAATTAAATCCAGGATGTTGGAATTGACTAAAGTAGCTAAGTAAGGAGATCATGTACTTCAACCATTCAGAATATAGGAGACAATCTGGGTGACATAAAATGGACAGATCAATTTTATTTTTTTGTACCAACACATGTATGTATAATTAATTGTCCTTCCAGAACATGAAAATCAGAACTCTGATAAAAATTCCCCCCAAACAGTATTTTTAGTACTTAAGTGATGCTCCAAGGATATAGATGCTTCTTTTCCATCGCCATGGATAGGCAGGGATCAGAGGGAGGCAGTTGCAGGAGATGGGTAATAAAAACAGAAAGGCACACTCAGTGAAGTCTCGGAACATCCAGTTTGTTCCAAGTCCTGTGGATCTCTTCTTCATACTTTGGTTTATCCCAGCATACAACGGAGGTCGCACCAGTTTGCTAGACTATTGCTTTGGGGATGCATTGAGCATCTCCATAGGTAAGAGGGACACAGATTTGGGGACTACCAGAAGTAACAGATTCCCCTTGATCATTTTTAATAGAGCTCTGGGGATCAAAAACACTAACAGAAAACTAAACTCTGAGCAGGCAGCCATTGGGAGGAAATAAAGATGACCTTCACGCCATTTTAAGTGCCAGAACTCGGCCTGCACCCAAATGGCATCAGGGCACATAGCCTGAATCCCTTCCCAAATGTGCATTTAGAAAAAGAAATGTTTCCAATTAAAAGGACATTTGATCTGCGATAATTTGATATTTCCTTCTCTTGGTCTAATTCTGTTTTTAAAATCCAAAGTAATTCTCTTTTTCCAAAAAGGATAAAATCTTATCTTCTGACTTCCTGCCCCAGATTATTACAGCAAACATATCACTTTGAGCTGTCCAAAGATCATGACAGAAATCATTCTTTCATAAAGGACCAGACTGGTCAAAAAAATAATACTCCTTTGCTTCTTTCAAAACTCATGGAGAGCGAATGTTCTTACATTTACATGGATGTTTTCACTGGCATCACAACAAAGACAAGTCCTTCTACGGAATGTTCATAAAAGAACAACAAGGCAGTTAGAAAAAATTGATCTCTGGAGTATCAACAGGTAAAATATAATAATAGAACAATGACCCGACCACAGGAAAAACAACCCTTTTCTGCATTCCACTGTCTGCACAGAGCTGAAGGCCTAAAAGCAAGGCTTTTTACAAGTAATGTTGTTTTAATGACCTCTAAAAACTCGAGTGCAAACTAGGACTTTAATTATCCTTCGATGCCCAAATGCATTGGGCTGAGATCCTGGTCCCCAGATCTACTACGAATCACTGTGCGACCTTGAAATTACCTAACCTCTCTGAGTCTTAGTTTCTTCATCTAAGGGGGGGAAGAAATGGGAGACTTGGTTACTGAAAACGCTGAAGGTGTCAAATTTCTGTGATTCTGTTATTCCAAAATGAGGCATGGAGCAAGAACATTCCCCCGCCCCCACCCCCCAAAAAGAAGAATAATGCCATGTATATACTATATCTGCTCCCTTTGATTTTATACTAAACGTTGATTTTATTAGCACCTCTCCCTTGCCAATTCCATAAAGTTGCTTTCAGTGAAATGAATTTGAGCATAACTCCACCAGTTCACACGGAATGGAAAAGGATTATAAGAAATAAGATAACCTGAGGACTTAAACAGAGGATGATTTTCTCTGCCCTCAATGTCAGGAACGATTGTGCCTTCCGTCTGTAGACCTCATGGACACCGTGAATGATGTCACTGCTAGGAATTTCTGTCTCTTCCTGAGTTGCTGAAACTCCCTAAAGCTAATCAGTGGCTCACCATGAGCAAAAGTTGGGCACTTCATGTCATGCTTTTGGCTCCTGACCTCACCACCTTGGATCTAGCTTGCCTTGTAAACCTAATTGCTCCTTTGCTTCTCTGTATCGCTTATTCATATTTATTTTATGGTGATAAATATGTATCTCTGTGCGGCTTAAGTTCTTTTTGGAAGAGAGCACTTGTCAAACTCTCATGAAAGCCTTCTTTATTTTCTGCTGCCTTTACTCACTCTGCTTAGTTGGCAGGGAGGGTTATTAGGAGCCCACAAACATGCCCGCCCGTCTGCCCTTCCCCTTTCCCACAGATGCTCTCACAGGAATGCCCTTTCTGTGACATGTTTAATTCTTCCAAGATGCTTTTGCAGTTGCTCTCAGAAAGAAGAAAGCAAAGATTAACAAAAAAGCACATGCAAGACTTCCTCTTGTTAGATCCTCACATCTCTCAGAGTTTGCACACAGAGCTGCCACAACTAGTATTGTGGGATGGATGGGCCTGTTTCTGATTATTACCAGGAGACATACTGAGGGGAGAGAAAGCATCCTTTCCAATGTGCCCAACAAGATTTTGTGAAAGAGGCCTACCCCACTCAAGATATTTTAAAAAGGAAAAAAAATCCTCACTTCAAAGACACCAAGTATGGTTTAAATGAAGAAAACATCTTTGTTGTAGCTGGATAATTAGTCTTAGGTTGATACTGTGAAATTGTATTTTAGTTCCATACGCACATATCACAGTGCTCACGTGTTTTCTCGGGCTGCCATCTGAAAGTACCAGAACCTTGGGTTGCTGAAACAACAAAAATGTCCTCATGGTTCTGGAGGCTAGAAGCCTGAGATCAAGCTACTGGTAGGGCTGGTTTCTTCCAAGGCCTCTCTCCTTGGCTTGTAGATGTGGTCTTTTACTTGTATCTTCACAATATCTTCCCTCTGTAATTGTGTCCAAATGTTCTCTTCTTATAAGGACGCCGGCCATATTATCAGATCAGGGCCCACCCTAACTGTACCTTAATCGCCCCTTTAAAGACCCTATCTCCAAATATAGTCTCATTGTGAGTTGCTAGAGGTTAGAACTTCAAGCAGAGGAATTTTGGGAGGGATGCAACTCAGCCCAAAGCATCGTATGTGTGTGTAGTCAATGTATAAAGTATATTTCTATTTCTTTTATAGGTCTTAGCAAGGTTTTACTATTTTAAATGTTATTTAATCAGCTACTCGGCAATTAGTTATCAAGCATCTACTATGTCCCACCCCAGTTCTTGATCATCTTGGAGATGATTTCATGAGTCCTAGTTGGTCTGATATGGTTTGGTTGGTTGGTTTGATATTGCTGTGATCAGGAACCCCATATGTGTCTTTCCATTCCACTTTCCAGCACACATCTCAGGGCAAGGTAGTAGACACCTCCTAGACTAAAGTTCCACACAGAGTGTAATAGTGCTGAGCGCAAGGAGTCAACAAAACCTACCGAACAAAACTGAGTTCTACAACACATTGAGTTCTACCAACCTAAGGACCAGGTTATCCCAAATTATGCCATGCAGAACTTACCCAGAGAACAAGTTATTGCAGATCATGCTACACATTTGTCAGTAGCAATCTAGTTATTGCAAGGCATGGGGCAGGGGGTTGAAAAGATTAATAAGGTACCACCCCTGCCCTCAAAAAGTTCCAAGTCTAGTGGTCCTTCCTGAAGATTCAGGAAAAGAGAGGTCACCTCTCCCTCATTCTTCTCCTAGGTTTTCCTTCCTTTCGACTCACTCCCTGACTAGTCAGGAGTCCCCTGTGGCTACCACTGATATTCGTCAGCCCAGCTTGGTGGTGCCTGGGGATAGAGGCTCTTGGGTTTCAGGCTATAGCTCATGGTTATTGTTGGCAGCATCTTCAAAAGAGTGAAGAATTACTGGTTCTGAAAAGCCCTGTATGCAACTCCTTTTCTTATATTAAAAAGCTTTCGACCAATATTCTTAATTAGCAGATACAGGGATATTGCAGAATTATAGGGTTGGAAGGGATCTTTTTGGAGCAGGATGGAAGTAAATTTATGCAGCCATCCCAGATCATCAACCCAATTTCCTTCCCTGAACTCCTTGAGATGCCTGTGGCCAGCTGGCGAGCTGTAATTAGGGGAACTGGGCCCACCCTTCTGACCATCCTCCTTTGATGTGCTTTCACAGTGTGAAAGGAGAGAGAGCGGCTTCACCCCGGTTAGCCCGCTTGATAAATAACACAACTGCAACACCCAAAGGCATAAACATTGATTTTTTTTTTTCTTCACTCCTTCAAAAGATGGCCTGCCCATCATTCTGGTCTCTTTGCTCTTCCAGCAAAAATGCCTCATGCTACTTTCACACAGATTGCTCAAAGAGCCATTCCTAAATGAATGGACAAGACTAATAGAAATAGAAAAAACTTTAAAAAAAATAAAATAGAAGAGGCACAATCTGCAATTATTAAATCTGAAAAAACATCCAATCTTCTTCTAAAAGATGGCAGCACTCTTATTTCATGCAAACCCTGACCTGATGTGACATGGGCTTTTTATAGTCCTTATTGATCCCACTTCGTGTGAATATTCATATGTTTTGCAGCAGAAATGTTAATGGACTTGATTTCAGATCCTGCTGAGGGTGTTAAATAACCTAAAATCTATGCACCATATTTGCCCTTCTAAAAGAAAACTTAAAAACCCTGAATTCCAAAACACAGCTGGCTGCCAGTGTTTCAACTAAGGCACTAAGGACCTGTGGTTTTAGGTCATAATCAGTGGGTAACCTAGACAATTCCATATATCTACTACAATGGTTTTTTGGTTCTGTTTTTTCACTTTCTAATGCATTGAAGTAAAGGAAGAGATAACCAAACACGGGCATTGACGGTCCTTGTGCTTTGCTGGGCAGCCTGGGCCCTGTCATCTTTCTGTCTGTTGTCACAATTCTCTGAGCCCTCCCAGTGAGGGGTTATGCATCCAGTGGACAGTGAGGCCCCATGAAGGGAGGCCCAAGCTTTAACCAATTTTTGAGATTCCTAGTATTTTAAAAGATAATAAAACAAAAGCAATAGCAACCTAAGTGTTTTTTGTTTTAAATAAATGAACCCTCTCAAATATTTCTACACATACTGAAATTATTTTTTTAAAGATTTTATTTATTCATGGGAGACACAGAGAGAGAGAGAGACACACAGAGAGAGAGAGAGAGAGGCAGAGACACAGGCAGAGGGAGAAGCAGGCTCCATGCAGGGAGCCCGACGTGGGACTTGATCCTGGGTCTTCAAGATCACGCCCTGGGCCGAAGGCAGGCGCTAAACCACTGAGCCACCCGGGCTGCCCACATACTGAAATTATAATCGTTATGATGATACCACCATGGCAGTCTAATACAATCCATCTTTGTTGATGGCAATAGACTTTCACAGCAGCCCAGGAGCAGAAGGGGAGCTAGAAGGTGTCTTACTCCCTCAGTCCTCCACCTGTGCCTCTTGGGTCATTTGTCTGTCACCTCGGAGGCCACAAAGTCAAAGGGCCACACATGGGGCCCCGAGGGGTGGTGAGGTCCACCCCAGGTCCTGCTGGAAGGCCCTTTGAAAGGCCACAGGGGAGAGGAAGGGGAGAGCCCCAGCACTGCGGGGCCCACATGTGGGTGATCAAGAGCTGTCTGTAAGCAATAAGGCAGAGGGAGGAACACTGTTTCAAAGTTTCCATTTTAACATTTCAAACTGTCACATCACTGATGCTCTTCATTGAAGGTTTGGCTAATAAGTTCAGGCGGAGAATGAAGATGCCAGCGCATTAGAAGCGGCTAAGTTTAGCATCAGAAATCTGTGGGAGAGATGCTGACAAGGGCTGCTGAAGACACTTCTGCTTCATTAAAGTCAATTCTTTTAACCCTTAGTTGCTCTCCTCTGCTGCTACCACACGCGAACATCCTCCAGCTAATTCATCTCAGGCAATGGATTCACGCAGTGATCGGTATTTACAAAGGAGAGGTAAAGGCAGTATTTGAAACGGCAAAAAAAGAAAACAAACCTCTCCAAACGCTACGGTCAGGGAGGTCAGGGAACGATGAACACTCACAGCATTTCCATCCCCTGCAAGAGCATGCAGCCGCGCGGTACCGCCGAAAGCAACTGAGTAGAAGAACAGCCTAACAACACAGGAAAGCTTATGGCCGGTATTAGATAGAAACCTGGAAGACTAATGGTTGCAAGCATCTTTTTTTTTTTTTTTCAAATGAGGCAAACTCATCAGTGAGATTTGGTCCAGAATAAGAAAAATATTTAAACAACCTAAATTGTCAGGTGGTGGGATGTACAAGAGGATTTTCCCTTCATTCCAAAAATGTGGCTTAGCTAACCAAAAAGCAAAGAAAGCAAAACAGTGTTAGGTTGTGTCTGTTAGTCCTTCAGGACTGGTCATCAAACTTCAAGTGTATATGTCTGGGGTTTGTTTTTTGGGGGGTTTTTTTTGTTTTTTGTTTTTTTTTTTTTTTTTTTTTTTTGGTAGTTGTGGGGTTTTTGTTACAATGGCTATTGTTTTGGTCGTTTTGTTTTTGTTTAACAATTGCACAGGGGCTTTTGATGATAAATCCTTAGGATGCCTGAGCCAGTCTGGCTCGGAGTTACAGTCCATGTGTGGCTCAGAAACAAGGGCTCAGCAGGGAAAGGTGGGGTACTTGGCTTCGAGCTCTCCTCTGTGCCCCCCTAGCGCTCAACAACCACTCTCCTCTCATTTAAAAACAGACCAGCTTACAGCCTTCTCAGGAACTCTCACTGGCCCTGGCTTTTATGGTCCAGTGATTTATTTTACAGCTGATAATTGTTTTATATCTAAGAGCATCCTAAATTATTTATATGTTACCCATATTAAAGTATGTTTTAAAACCATCACTGAGGCTAGCTTGTCTATAGTTCCCCTCATTTCCCTGACAAGGGGATGTGATGTGGGCCTTTGCAGGGTTTGTGGGGAGTGACTTTGCGCTTCTTTGATGGATACAGGAGCAAGAGTCAGGAAAATGGGGCCTCAACTAACAAAAGGAGGGAAGAAAATGAGTAAGATTTTTCATGACCGTTATGCCCCAGCAGAGACTCAAAGGAATCCTCTCAGCTTCTTTGCTGTCTTGACCCACTGGTTCTGTAAATTTCTTTTTACATGAGGGACCCAATGTCTTGTCTTGAGGGTTCAAATCCTCCTCCCAAACCTCAGGAACTAGAATTTTAGCCTCCTTGTGCCACAGTCCTGGTGCAGTCACCAAAGTCTGGAAAGCTTACATTGGTTTTCTGTTCAGTCTCTTCAGGGGCCCTCCAATTTCTGAATACTCTGTCAGGGTGCTTACAACAATGACCCACGTTACTCAGAGGGAGGGAAAGGCACCCACGGTGGTTAGCAGGAAGGGCCCCTTCTAGGTCTTGGGTTACTTAGGCCTCAGATCCGGCTGACCAGAGAGCAAGGCGCCACCTACCTGTCAACTCCTAAAGACAGACAGACAGAAAATGATGTCAGCCAACGTTGGCAAGTACAGTTAACACAGGAGGGCATAAGCAAGTGAGCGGCCAGTAAGTGAGAAGTGCTAGCAAAACCCGTCATGGCCACTTGGGAAACTGAACTCCAGAGAAGAGGAAACAGGCTTGTTCAAGATGGCTGCATATCCAAAGTCGTATTAGCTCAGATACTGAGTATGCTTGTGAAACCGCTCACTTGGCATTCACTAATCACTAACATGTTAATTATTTTGTGAAGGAGCCAAAGGAAAAAAAGATTTCTTCCCCGTAGCCACTGTCAGTGTTAGCTGTCAACTCAGCTCCTGACTCCATTTTTAGACTAAAGTAACTTCCACTGGCTGATCAAAAAGACCACAGTCCTGTTTCCACACACCAACCCTCTTCCTATCTCCTGCTTTAAGATCAAGTCTCTCTTCTGCTCAAAACCTTCTGGTGGCTTCCATTACCCTTAGATTGAAATCCAAACCACTGGCTGCATCTCCTACCTCAAGAGGTACTATCCTTCTTCTCCCTGCACTCCAACCACACTGGTTTTCTTTCTGTGGCTCAAAATACCAACCCATCCTTGCCTATAGGGCTTGGCTCACCCTGTAGCACACTCCCAACTGCTGGCTGCTTTTCACAATTTAGCTGGGAAATCGCCACCTCAGCAAGGTGTTCCCCGAGGCCCCTATTCTACCTCATTTGTTTTCCTCACAGCTTTAATTACTATCACAAGTTATTGTCTCTGTCTCCCCACGTCAGAAAATGAAGGATTTCATCTGCCTTATTCATTGTGTCTCTAGTACCTAAGTAGTGCCTGGTAACATAGTAAGTCCTCAAAAACTACCTGTGGAGTAAAATGAATGAAACGTTTTGTGTGTAAAAATGACCTCAAAGGTGCCATCACTAAGTGAAGTACTTTGAGTTGACTTTCAACCCAGGAGGTGGTTGTGCTGATCACTCTCTCTCTGTGGGCTCCTGATAAGCAGTGGCCAGTGTTAGCCAAGAGTCCAGGCCAGGGCCAGGGCCAGGGTCAGGGCATGAAACAGAGCCAGGAAAAGCAGAGCTGGCTCATACGGAGACTAAACCCAAGACATTACCATCCAGCCTTCCAACGGGCCACAGTGGAGAAACCAGGCCTGTATTATTAACCCTGATGTTTTCTTTAAATTCGGTATTACCCACCAAAGCCAAATGACCTCTGGTTGCTTTTTTCACAAGTGAAAGCAAAATTAACAGAGCGAAGCTACCCCATGCAGAGCCGCCTTCACTTTCGCCCGGAGAGATGTCTGAGGTGCTCAGCATACCTGTCATGAGGAAAAGGAGTCCAGCCACATGTTGGGTCAAGCTTTCCTCCCAGAAGAAACTGACTGTGGCCACAATGCAGCCACAGAGCAGGACAGCTACAGCCATGCCCAGGAAGCCAGCAGTGATTCTTCTCAAATCTACTCTCGAAACACAAACATTCAAAATGAAAAGCAGAAACAGCAAAGTTAATGAAAACTAGAGAATGAAGAGCTTTGTATACACTAAAAAAACTAGTAAGTGGCACAGGCAGTCTTGGGGTCTGTGGGGCTGGGGTGGTTTGAGAAGTCTCTCCCCAGGCATTCCACAAGAGGACAGATGGGATCCAACAAATTCAGGGCCCAGAGTCTACCTTCTCTGAATCCACAGAGAAGTCTGTACCATGAAGAGAGTAGACCAGAGGACAATGCCAGGGCCAACTTAGGTAATGATAGCAAGTTACTTAGTAAATGGAGAAGGAGGTAGGGATGAGAAATATCTTTACTTTCCTTAGAAGAGCAATGAGAATACCTCTTACCACCACTGCAGTGGCTACACTTAATCTGGCTTTGGAGAAAGAGCCTACATAAAGTATGCTGCAGTGAAATACGGTTTTACCTGAGCACCACAGGTACCAATTATTTTATTTGTCTTTGTCTGTTACAAAGGCACAATCATGATCCCTGGGTCAGAAGCCCATTCCCTCCCCACAACTGAGGCAAACAAGAGATGGACCAACTACATGTACCTGGACATAGTTTCACTCTGATTGCTATCCTAAAGCAGCACTCTGATTGCCCACCCTCTGCTATTTTACTTCTATTTTCTTGGTTCCTTTTTTTTTAATGAATCAAATTTTAAAAACTGTTAGATAAATATGTATGTTTCTTCTTAAAACAATAGAGCCCAAGCATAGATCTGCTGCCCCAGAAGCCAGTCAACAGCTCTGGGAACACATGGACCATTCCTTTCTTTTAAAGGGGTTTCTCATTTCAGTTCAGAGCATCTATATGAAAACAGAGTATTACTACCTAGAAGAGGAAGTGTAGACACCTCAGACTACAGGTCAGGAGCAGAGATCATTTAAAGGGGCTGAGTTTAATGTTTAGGGGATAAGTCATTTTGTGACATCCACATCTAAGCAGGGGAAATGTCATAATATGTTATCTCAACTTCCTAAATTCCCTGTGGTTTAAGTAGTAATTCTATTGTCTACAACCATTAAAAGGCACAAGGTTCAGATAAAATTCACATAGGATTTATATTAGTACCAGACATGTTAAGCTTATCTGGTAAACATGGTACAGTTCCCCAAATGTGACTTTCTTAGAAAGAGCTATGCATGCAAATGCAGGAACTATCTTTCTATAAGAACCTCAAAAAAGATAAAGAGAACTCAAATACTGTCTTACTCGGCAACAGCAAGCCACAAACTCCTCAAGTAAAGAGGTGATGTTCTTTCCCAGGTTTCTATGTTGACCTTTTCTCACCACACTTAAATCCAGTGACTACGTGGCTTTCTGGACTGTTGATTAAGGCAAAGAATTCCAAACATGCTCATAAAGAATTCAGACATAAAAACACTAAGATAAAACTCTAACTCAGATCTGCTCAGAATGCTTGTTAAGATCATCCAACAAGAAAGAATTTTCAGGAACTCATACTATTAAGAAATAAACCACATTTTAGCCAATGACTTTCCAAGTGCTAAATTTGCCAATCATAATGTTTGACGTAAGACCTCTACTATAGCAGTATTACAAGAGCTTCCATGTTCATGTTTGTAATTCAAAACAGAGGCTTTTGATCTGCAGAGATTTCCTCACCAAATGAGATTCTGCTTGGTTTTCTGCAGTGTCCTTGGTCACCAAACACAATCGCCAATGTCCTTCCTGCTTATTTCACTAGAAAAAATGACAATGTCTACCTCTGATTAGGGTCTACTATTTTGCTTTCCTGAGTCATCCATCAGTAGGCAGCATGAATCAACAATTTTCGGGTAAATATCATCTCTCCTTAGTGTCACTGCATGATCCTTTCTAGATTTTCACATTTTTCCTGACAGTGAAAAAGAGTAGTTCCCATCGTCAAGATATCCTCTGATGACAGACATCCTCTGGGAAAATTACAACATACACTTATAAAGATATTTTAGTGGAAAGACCAAGATCTGAGATAGACATAGTAGCTAAAATGAATATTGGATAAACAAAACAAAACTGAGAGTACCTAAAGTATAATCTCCTTGGTTTACTAAGACCAGTAGCAGAGCAGGTCCTTGTACCGATGACTTGGTAGAGGAAAGATGCAGGAGGCCATTTGTGTACAGATGCCACCAGGGCAGAAACACACACTGTCCTATCTCACACAGCCTCAGGCCTGATTTTCACACATTTGATCTGTAAACAAGTTGTGACCGCAGTTGTGACCACAGCACAGTGAAATGCCTCTCTGAGTCTCCAACCAAGTCAGATTGGGCCCAGAGGCCCACAAGTGATCAGCATAACATCTTTCGGTTCAAACCTGAGAGGGCTGGTGGGAATACTTTTTGTTCAGAAAGACACCATTTCCTCTCTGACCCTTTCCCAGAAATACTCACGAAGCAGGTGCCATTCATCTTGCTGAATTGTCTTGGTTAAATTGAAAGGAATGTTTCGTAGGCGGATTGGCTGAGAAAAGTGGTACTTGATAGCCGTGCATCTCTGCGCAATACCTTGAAGGAAATAAGAAATGTGATTTACTACTGTGCTTTTTTTTAAAGATTTTATTTATTTATGAGAGACAGAGAGAGAGGCAGAGACACAGGCAGAGAGAGAGAAGCAGGCTCCATGCAGGGGGCCCGACGTGGGACTCGATCCTGGGTCTCCAGGATCACACCCTGGGCCAAAGGGAGGCACCAAACCCCTGAGCCACCCAGGCGTCCCTAGTTTGTGCATGTGTAATAGAATTTCGGAGACCTATGGCAGAGTAATGTGTCCTAAACTGGGTTGAATGGGGGGAAGGGATAGGAATCTCTCAATGACTCAATAATACAGGCAAGTCAGAACAGTAAAAACCTAAAACATGATATAAAATATTTTTTTAAATAAAAAAGTATTTATTTATTTGAGAGAGAGAGCAGAGCAGGAGGGAGAAGCAGAGGGAAAGGGAGAAGTAGGCTCCCCAGTGAGCAGGGAGCCCAACATGGGACTTGATCCCAGAACCCTGGGATCATGACCTAAGCTGAAGACAGATGCTTAACCACCTGAGCCACACAGGCACCCCTGAAATAGTTTTTTAAATCAGGTTTCACTTTTAAATATATTAAAATTGATAAGGATCTAAATTCTTCTAATTGTTTTTCAACATTGAATTTATAGTAACTAAACACAAAACACAGGCAAGGAGAAATGGCCTAAAAGTATACAGATGGCTGGGGGAAATGAACTTAAAATTTTAAGTTAACCCGGATAAATTACATGTGCCTGAACTTGACCCAATCTCAAACTCTCAAACAAGTTGCATCAAAAAGTTCATTCGGAAGTGTGTTATTTGGGAACCAGAAGACACCATTCCATAAAGACAACCTTTAAAGTTGGTGGTTTAGGTGTGATTCAGTCACCAGACAAACCTCAAGAACCTATTTAACTCCAAGGCAGCTGATGTATTTCCTTTTGATCGATTGATTGATTGATTTTATTGGAGTTCAATTTGCCAACATACAGCATAACACCTAGTGCTCATCCCATCAAGTGCCCCCTTCAGTGCCCATCACCCAGTCACCACCATCCCCCCACCCACCTCCCTTTCCACCACCCCTTGTTCATTTGATGTATTTCCTTAATACAAATTTTACTGACCTAAATTCTGGGTGCCAAGAGAAAGAGTAATATTAAAGGTAGAGAAGAGGGGGAAAAAAGTAGAGATGAGAAAGAAAAAAACTTTCCCTACCTTTTATGGTTGCATGGCCAGCTCTAGGCACAGTATTTTGAAATGGCAAATATACCCGTTGCTTTATCTGGTGCCTTCTCCTACCCTCCCTCCCTACCTATCCTTTTATTGCATAAATAAATATGGGCTGATTTTTCCCCTGGAATCTTCTGAGTCCCATAATTCAGCCTCAACCCTATGATAATGCTAGCAGCAACTAAAAAAAAGGGAAAAAAAATCCTCATAGATACAAATAATTGATGGGAGTTGATGAACTATAGAAATAAAGTGAATTTTTTAGAAATCAGACATTAAAAGGGGGAAATTCACATTTGAGCACAGTCTGTATCATGAGCCCATCTCTGATGTGAAGGCACCTTTAGGATTATCTTCTTTAAAGGGTTTCTCACACAGCAGTATTCATTAAGAATTAATGGGTAGCTAGTTAAAAACATAGATTCCTGGATGGACCCACCCAAAAATGCTCTAAATCAAAAGATTTGGGACAGAGCCAAGAAGCTGAACTTTAACAAACATCCCAAGTAATTCTGAGGCAGGCTGTCCTTGAATCTCACTTCTAGAAACCCTGCCCAAGACACTCTCCGCTTTGGGGAAGATTTTAATTTTTTACTTCATGAAACCACAGATTCTCCCAAAGTTCAGAGCTCTTATACTGTACTCTGTGTTTTTTTTCAACATGAGTCCATGGAATCGGTTATGTGGTCTAAGGCATATGAGTTAAGTGTTTACATATAAGTTAGATGTTTATAAGCCATAAAATGCCTGTACTTGTGAAGAACAAACCATCTGCTATGAGAATACTAGCAGATAATACACTGCAAATGTATTATTACCTTGCATCTGTATTTTTCAAAACTGTCATTCCACTTGATAGTCATCCTCAAGCTGACCTTGAGACTCCACGTAATCAGGGAGTGAAGACTAAGGCAGAGTTTAAGACTAACCCAACATACACACAGAGCCCACCAGCAAAGACTGGGACTTCTTAGTTCCAGGCAAGTAAGGACATCTCTGTCCATCAGCTTCACATGAAACTAGTCAAGCAGAGGCTTCAGGGGTCACAGATGACAAAGAATACAGACTTTACAGAATTAAAGAAAGATACTTCTTTCTTTAACAACAGAAGCTAACAGCAATAATGTAAAACAATAACAAACCCTGAAGAAGAAGAATCTAATTTCTAGAGTTGCTACCTCATATTATTTTAAATACTGTTTTCTTTTTTTAAGATTTTATTTATTCATTTGAGAGATAGCAACAGAGATAGTGACAAAGATAGCAAGAGAGAGCATGAGCAGGGAAGAGAGCAAGAAGCAGACTCCCTGATGAGCAGGGAACCTGACACGGAGCTTGATCCCAGGACCCCAGGGTCATGACCAAATTCGAAGGCAGATGCTTAACCAACTGAGCCACCCAGGCGCCCAAATACTAGGCTTTCAACAGAAAGGTACAAAACATACAAAGAAACAAGGACATATGGCCCAAGGGTAAGGAAAAAGTCCATCAGTAGAAACCATCATCGAGGAAACCCAGATGTTGGACTTATCTGATAAAGACTTTAAATCAGCAGCTTAAAATATGTACAAAGAACTAAAGGAAATCATATCCAAAGAACTACAGGCAAGTATGAGAATGATGTCTCACCAAAGAGAGAATATCAGTAAAGTGACAGAAAGTATAAAAAGAAAAAAAATAACTGAAAAGTCCACTAGAGGAGTGGAAGAAATAATCAGCAAACTTGAAGATAGGTCAATTGAGATTATCCAGTCTAAAGAAAATGAGGAAAAAGGAGTAAAGAAAATAAACAGAGCCACCAAGAACTGTGAGACACCACCAGTCATACCAATGTGAGTATAATGGGAATCCCAGAAAGGAGAAAAGAGAAAAGGGGGCAAAAAGAATATTTGATGAAATAATTGTCAAGAATTCCCCAAATATGATTAAAAACATGCATCCTTATATCTGATGAACTACAAATAAGATAAACTCTATAGTGAGCCACACCCAAACTGAAAGCCAAAGAGAGAATTTTGAAAGAAGCAAGAAAAAAGCAACTTATCACATAGAGGGGTTCCTCAAAAGAGTAGAAGAGATTTCTCATCAGAAACTATGGAAGGCAGAAGGGAGATGATGAATTCAAAGCACTGAAAGAAAGATAATCAGAAATTCTGTATGCAGCAAAGTCATTCTTCAGAAATGAAGGAAAAATAAGGCATTTCCAGCTCAACAAAAACTGGGAGAATAAGTCACTAGTCACTAGATCTGTCCAATAATGAAGACTAAGGGAATGTGAATGAAATGAAAAGACAGTAACTGAGTCCACTTGAAAAAAAAAAAAAGACTATTTGTCAAGGTCATGACATGGGTAAACATAAAAGACAGTATAAATGTATTGTGTGTTTTGTAACTTTTTCCTCCTATCTGATTTAAAAGATATAAAGCATTAACCAATAATTATAAATCTGTGTTGAGGAACATACAATGTAATTTGTATGATAATAACTGTGCAAAGGACAGGAGAGGGAATGGAGCTGTAAAGCAGCAAAGCTTTTATATATAAATTAAATTCAGCTGGTATTAACCCAAACCAGATTGTTATATATTAAAATGTTAATCGTAATTCACAGATAACCACTAAGAAAATAACAAAAAATATACATAGAAAATAAAACGAAAGGGAATTTAAAAGGTTACTAGAAAACATTTACTTAACAGAAGAAGATAGTACTGGAAAAGTAGAAGAACATACAAAAAAGAGCAAAATGGCAGACCTAAGTCCTCCCTTATGAGGAATTACATTAAATTTTTTTTAATTTTTTTTAAATTTTTATTTATTTATGATAGTCAGAGAGAGAGAGAGAGGCAGAGACACAGGCAGAGAGAGAAGCAGGCTCCATGCACCGGGAGCCCGATGTGGGATTTGATCCCGGGTCTCCAGGATCGCGCCCTGGGCCAAAGGCAGGCGCTAAACCGCTGCGCCACCCAGGGATCCCCTTTAAATAGATTAAACATTCCAATCAAAAGACAGAGATTAGCATTATAAATAAAACAACATGATCCAACTTTATGATGTCCACAAAAGACACACTTTAGATTCAAAGACACAAATAAGCTGAAAGTAAAAGTATGGAAAAATATATACCATGCAATCACCAAAAGAGAGATAGGAATGGCTGTCCTAACATCAGACAAAATGAACTTCAAGAAAAAAATATGTTACTAGAGACAAAGACATTTTAGAATGATAAAATGGTCAATCCACTGGGAATTTACAAAATTATAAACAGATATGCACCTACCCACGAACAGAGCCCCCAAAATATGGGAAGCAAAAGCTGAAGGGAGAAATAGACAATTCAACAATAATAGTTGGAAACTTCAATATCTCACCTTCATTTTTTTTAAAAGATTTTATTTATTCATGAAAGACTCAGAGAGGGGCAGAGACACAGACAGAGGGAGAAGCAGGCTCCCCACAAGGAGTATAATGCAGGACTCGATCCCCAACCCCGGAATCACACTGGAACCAAAGGCAGACGCTCAACCGCTGAGCCACCCAGGTGTCCCGTTATCCCACCTTCAAACATGACAAAGCAACTAGACAGAAGACCAACATGGAAACAGAAGACCTGATCAACACTTTAAAACAATTAGAGAAATAGCTATCTATAAAACACTCTACCCAACAACAGCAAAATACACATTCTTTTTGAATGCACATACAGGACAGACCACAAATCTCCAGGAGAGACCACAAATCTCAATAAATTTAAAATTATTAAA